ACAAAAACAATCTAAACTCAAAACAGGCAATGCCTTAAAGGACAAGAAAAGTACATGCTACTACATATCGTTCACTTTCATTTCAGTTTTAGTTAATTTCTACAAAATTCACATAGGACTGGTGATAATGATTTCCTCAGTGCGTTTCCTTGTGGTGCCATTCTTTCCTTTACCCTCTTTAGGGAATTTTTTTTTTTTAAACCAACTTACTGATTAAAAGAACATTTTAGAGCCCTTAAATTCATTTCTTTGTTTACAGAAGCTATAAAAACTAGTTTGCAATTGTTTCATGTTGCCTCAGCTTTGAACCGAGATCACTCTTGAACATCAAAATATTCCTTTGAAGAGAACAGTCTCTCAGGCAGAGCCAGACACTTTCCCAGCCACTCCCTTAAGTTTAGACAACCAGAGTTTTACAAGTGTCAAGTCTTTTTTCAAAGTTAGACTATACAATGTAGCAGGCTCTAGACCAATTTTTCTCAAATTGTGGGCTGGGTTTTAAAGAGGTGGGCTGGGGGGGTGGGGGTGGATCAGACACATTCCAACGGAATTTTACAGAACAGACCTGCAAAGGACTAAGGAGCAGGTAACAAGGCTGGAAGAGATGGCCTTTTCCCTCCATCTTTCCTTGCAACTTGTAACATGTACAATGACGAGACAGCTCCTGAAGTTACATTCTCTAAAGGTCTATTCTATTAGTGGGTTACTTCTCACAACCAACGTTCGTGTTCTCTCTCTCTCTCTTCCTCTATACCTCTCTTTCAGTTCTTGAAGGATGCTAGGCTAGTGGATAGGCAAGATGAAAAGATAACAGTTTAGAATTATATCTCTCAATCAAAGATGAGTAATCATTGTGATTTCAATAAACTTCTATTTTAAAAACACAAACGCAGAAACCAAAGTGCTAGAAATTGAAGACTCAAAGTATCTCGGCCAAAAAACATACAGAAACGACAAAGTCATTCCTGCTTTTAGATCGCAAAGATAGAAATGGTTTTCCGTCTCAGAAGATTCTCTCTGCAGCATTTGGAGGAGGGGGCTGTTGGGTCTCCTGTTTTTAATTAGCTTGTTTATTTAATTTGATTCTCATTTTCCTTTTCTCTTTTAAAAGTAAATAAATAAACAGTGCAAAGTATAGTCTTTCTAATCACTACAAACCGCAAAGTTCTGCTACTTGAAAAAAAGCAAATCAAGAAAATTCTGTTTTCTGACACATAAATAATTATTACCACTGCTGGTAACAATAATGAAAACTTGGAACTTATGTAACACATTTTATGATCAAACTGATTCAAAAATTAAATCAGTTAGCTTCAGGGTCTACTCAGTCTACGTTACTCTGTGGCTAATAATTTAGACAACATGAACATTCTCAAATAAGAAACTTCAAAAAAATCTTTTTTTCCTAGATCCTTTTTCATTGTTAAAGTTCTCATAATTTGATTACTGTAAAATTCAAGGCTTTCTCCCATGTCTTGGCCATATTTCCAAAGGATCTTGAATAATAATAGTGACTCATATGTATAAGATTATTCATTGAAGCATTGTTTTTAATTGGAAAAGATTAGAAACAATAGGGAACTGTTAAATTACGGCAAGTCCATACAATGGAATATTACGTAGCTGGAAAAAATTAGAAAGCTCTTTATGTATTTTATGGAATGAGCTCCAAGATAATTTTTTAACTGAAAAATGCAAGATAAAGAATATTATGTACAGTAGGCAACTATTTCTATTTTAAAAAAGGAAAAATATAGACACATAAATTTTCAGTTTATACGCATACAATATCTTTAGAAGGATAATAAGACCTGGTAACATTTTTGCCTCTGAGAAGAAAAACGGAGAAATGGGTAGGACAGAGACTTGGCCTCATATTTTCTTTTGAATTATGTACCATATGAATGTATTATCTATTCAAAAATAAATAATTACTAAATAAAAAACCTATGATCACTGACAAATTGTAATACATATGGATGACACAATAGTAATGATGGATTTATATTGATGTGTGAATGATACCCCATATCGACATCATTTTCTAAGATGACCTTCTGGAATTAAGGGTATAACCAGGCTTGCCCTACCACCACCACCACCACTTGTTGCCATCGAGTAATTCTGACTCACAGTGACCCTGTAAGACAGGGTAGAACTGCCGCATACCGTTTTCAAGACTGTAAACTTTTACAGAAGCAGACTGCCATATCTTCCTCCCATAGAACAGCTGGTGGGTTCGAATCACTGACCTGGTTAGCAGCCGAGCACTTAACCACTGCGCCGGCAGGGATCCTTAGCCTGCTCTAACTACCCCTTAAGTGGACAGAAGACATCACCCTTAGCTCTTGATGTTCTACTTTTTGAGTATAAATAGCTCAATTACACAAAGCAAATAGATTTTATGGTTGTAGATTTTTTAGGCATTTGAAAACTATTTTGGGGAGAACAAATACAATTATCTGCAGTTGACAAAAGAGTTAAAGAGAAACTAGGTACCTTCCTTAAGGTCACCCAATAAGTGAGAAAAAGAGGGACACATAAAAATCTTCACTTTTAAAAAGCCTCCCCAAACTACCACTTTAATGGGCATAGAGTAGGATCTTTCTATAACTGTGTGTCTCTGTGCGTGTCTGTGTGTTTATGTGCGCACGCATGTGTATATATAGAAAGAAAGAAAATGAATGTTTTTAGCTGTGATCAAACCCTTACTTATTAGAAATATCTGATCACCTACTAAGTGTCAGATAGTGTGCTGGCTACTAAAATATAAGTAAATAAAAAATATACTGTGAAAGAGTAAGTAACCCAGCTGAGAAGAGGGAGGTTGTCTGGGCAGGGAAGGTGACATCTGAGCTGAGCCTTGAAGGCTGATAGGGATGATGGCAGAAAAAGAAGGTGAAAGAGGAGTCCACACAGAGGCAGAGAATGTGCAAAGGCTCAGGAACAGTGAACAGTTGTGTCTGGCTAAACAAGAGGGTTCATCGCAGGAAACACAGCTTGAATAGTAGGCTGGAGCTACTTTGAGAAGGGCTTATATACCATGCTAAACAGTCTGGACTTTATAACTATAAACAGCAGAATATAAACAAAAATTGAAGAAGGTTCCAGAAGACGCAAAGAGGTGATCTGAGAGAAAAGAATAAGATTTACGAAGAAAGGCTAAAGAGCTAGAGGATAGTTAGCCTGACAGACTTCAAGCACCGGAAGGCATCTTACACAGATGGTAGTCACAGCTGTAATCCATCTCTACAGAAGGTAGAAAAAAAGATTAAGTATTCAACTGTGGTGATAATACAATAAAGATAACAAAAAACACTGGAGAGAGCAAGTAGAAAGAGGGAGACTAGATGGGACTGGGGGATGGGGGTGGGGTGAAGCCCAAATGACTTAAAATAGGCAAAAATGAGGGTTTATAAATAAAGGCCTTGTTTTTTAAGCACAAAGTAGCCTCTCCTTTTCACGGAGCATTTTATGAGAAGTGCTCACTTTCATGGGATGGTTCCATAGTCCTATTTGACTATCTCAGAATAGAGTCAGTTCTTTTATCCCTTATGATTCTATTACCTTCAGACTGTGAATGGACTAAATATCATCATACTAAATGTCATGGTTTGAATTATGTCCCCCAAAAAATGTGTGTATCAATTTGGCCAGGCCATGATTCCTGGTACTGTGTGGATTTCCTATATGTTGTAAATCCTGCCTCTATGATGTTAATGAGGGAGGATGGGCCGCAGTTGTGTTAGTAAGGCAGGACTCAGTCTACAAGATTGTATTGTATCCTGAGGCAGTGTCTTGAGATATAAAAGACAGAAGTGAGCAGAGAGACAGGGGGACCTCATGCCATCAAGAAAGCAGTGCCAGGAGCAGAGCGCGTCCTTTGGACCGAGGTCCCTGCGCACAGAAGCTCCTAGTCCGGGGGAACATTGAAGAGAAGAAGGCCGACAGAGAGGAAGAGCCTTCCTCTGGAGCTGATGCCCTGAATTCGGACTTTTAGCCTAAACTTTAACTGTGAAAAAAAATAAACTTCTCTTCGTTAAAACCATCCACTTGTGGTGTTTCTGTTATAGCAGCACTAGATGACTAAGACACCAAACAAATTCAAAGAACAAAACATTATTAACTTGGAATAATCAGAGAGAAGACATGTCTAAATCACAAAATACTTTTAAAGAAATTAGTGCTAATATTTTATAATACATATTATTAATGCTAAGGGCTGGTCAAGTATTACCAATAAACTGTACAAATGTAGAAGTAGTAATGCTTATGGGCAACCTTCCTTCTTAACATAAGTCAAGCACTTGCATTGCTATTGTGAGTCATAAATGACTTAGCTCTTTCCTTCATAAACAGAGCAATGATAAGTTTAAGTACAGCAAATGACCACAAATTCCAAAATTGCAGGGTTTAAATTAGCATGGTGTCACCACATATGAGGTATCAACTGCATAATAATTTAACTGAAAGGAAAGTAATTGGCAACCAGGATGAATGTTGACCCTTAATAGCAAATTAGAGAATTTTTTCTAAAAACTTAAATTGTTGACTGATCAAGCACAGAGGAAAGAGTACCTGGTCGAGGGAATCAGGTTGAGTATCCCATTGAGAACATAGCTGAATTCCGCATGATCCTGAGCAACAAGTGCCACCAAACCCTCACAGCAGGCTGTTCGAACCACCACGTTGTCACTGCAACACTTTTCCCACAGCAAGTTCAAAGCAGGAGTCTGAAATCCAACCAGTGATTAAAAGACACTTCCGATGAACAACAAACACACACATGCACCCCAACTATTTATCACAATGTAATTCATTCACTGTAGGCTAGCTTTCCTATACAAAGATGAGACTGTTGTGGCTGTTGTCATTCTAGACTAAAGTCGGTTTTCCAAGAGACATAATGGATACGTTCTGATATAACTCTCTCCCAGCTGGTATCTCAGCTGCCATATAAGGCAGAATGCAGGCAGAGGTATGACCTGAGTTCAACTGACACAATAAAGCCCATGTGGGATCAAAACTAAGATCTGGCTGTAGCACAGTTCTTTAACCAGGCAACTTAGCCAGACACGAACAGTATCAGGATATCAGTTAGTCTAAAGTGAACTCCAAATCGTATTTATGCTTCAAGCCCTAAACGGCAACACCATTTTCAGAGATTTTCCTGCTCTCCTATCACCACCCTCCACCAGGCATGCCCCCTTGCCCACCCACCTACCATGTCCCTGCCCCCCATTTATTAAGCCTAGTGTGGGCCCAGAGGGAAGGGAGAGAAGTAGTGCAGGCCACAAGCAAACTGTTAGTTCCATAACTATCAACAAAAGCATAGAAAAACTGTTTTGCTCAAGAAAGAGGCTGTGATTTTTCCCCCCTCACACTATGAGTCAGTATTCTTCGACAGAAAAGCACTGGAAGGGCACATAAGTAAACCTAAGTTCTTTATCTTAAAAAGCCCTATAAAGGCAGAGGTTCTAGCTCTCATAACTTTCTCAGGAGTCTATGGCCCAAAAAATGGTTGACTGCTAGTGATAAACCTATACACGAATGTATGTGGGTTCAGTCCATTCAGATTTACAGTTTGTTTTTTTTTTTTATTTAAAAAAGGCACATACACATGTATTGAAGCTATTTTTCCTTCCTGCTGACATGATTTATTAGTGAAATTTATAATTTGGGGAAAAACAGATCCCCATAAAAAAAAATCCCCAGTGCCCAAAGAATAATGGAAAGAATGAAATCACCATCATATTATGCCCACTTTCCCACTGTCACTGGCTCTGAGAGCCTCTTGGATCCCACCATTAAAAGAATAATACGTTAACAGTTATCACTACAGGAAGGATATATTTATATTCCATTTCTCCTTTTACTCAGAAGGAAATTTATTCACCTGCATGAACAATTTCAAAGGGCTCTAAATGTCATTTTTCCATTACTTACTAAGTCAGAAAAAGAAAATAAAGAAACAAAGTGTTGCCTCAGGTTATACTGGGTCCTCGCGGAAGTAAGCATTCATATATTACTAGAAGAAGAAACATTAAATTATAGGGATATGACATTTAATAAATCCTGGCTGTTTAAGTAAAACCACTAGATCTTTTCAGGCTATATAATGTGATTACAGGCAGGATTAAGATCAGGGTTCTCAGAAAACCTAATTTCTATGACTACATACAAACACCAGATAAATGCCGCTAATATACCCCCACACTTACTTCATCATGTCAGTAGAAGCTGTAAAGAAATGTAACTGGGAGCAGCTAATCAAAAGGAACGTGAGAGAAAGGAAATTAATTTATCTCTGTTGTGAAAAAAAAAATCTTATCTCTGTCTTTTATGTTCTTGGTAGAGTGTACTTTTAAGTACCTCTCTTAAACAATTTCCCAATCAGCATGTCAAAATACGCACTGCTGGTCAACCAAAACCCAAGTGGTGTATCTCAGTAAGCATTACTTTGACTACAAGCACCGGCCTGCCCTATGCATGGATACAGAATTTTTCCTCCAGCTCCCACTGTCAGTGCATGACCTCCTCCACTTAGAACTCACATCTGGGGCTGGCCTGAAGCAGGAAAAATCTCCTACACCCAAATAGAGCCACTGTGTTCAATGTCTCTATTAACTAAATGTACTCCCTCAGAGGCAACCCTATCAGCCCTCTCTAAAGCATGCCTTTCCTCATCCCACCTATGTGATTTATCATTAATAGTCATAAGAATTCCCCTTTTTGCCCCCTCCACATCTCATTCATGAAGTCTGTTGTAGCAAATTTTAAAATTTAAAAGAATGCTATGGAATAAAACGATGGCACACCAAAAAAAAAAAAAAAAAAAAAGGCCATGAACTTTTCACAGTTTAAAATCATTTCTATGGTGACCTGAACTGTGAGGGAAGTAAGAGACGTTCATATGTTCTCCAACTTTTAGAAATATCTGAGTAGAACTAAAGCACAAAGTTAAATACAGACCTGGTTTGTAGACTGGTGGATTTTTTCTGAATAACCATTTTCCTTTAGGACTGCAGCAATAAGATGACCCACAGCCTAAAAAACAAAGAAAACTAGTGAATATATTCACTCCAATTTCTCTCCCAATAGTGCTTCTGAAGGTAAGTAACATCAATATTAGTTGATATGAGTATGAGTATGCTAGGCAGTCAATTGGTAATAAATAAAATTCCCAGTCATTGAATATGTGCTGTGTAGCAGGCACTGAATTAGGCATACCACATGTATAATTTATGGTCTTCATAACAACCCTCAAGGTAGGCATTATTATCCCAGGTTACCAATGAACAAACTTCATTTCACAGATGTTAAGAAAATTGCCAGATTTTCCATTCAAATTGCCATCATTTAGTATTAGATGATAACTCGAGACTGCTTAATCCATTAAACCATGAGACAAATGAGAAACCCCAGAGTTTTTAAAATCAACTTTGTATCTAAATGAAATCCATCATGCTTCATCATGCCCTTAATAAAGATGGTGAAAACTCATCCTCATCTTTATGACTATAGCTGACATAGATCTGAACCACCTCTCTTCTCCCTCCTCTAGGCTCTATGATTTTAATTTCTTTACTATTTTCTCATAGGTGTGAGCCTTTTAATAAGCTTTCGGCCTCTAAATTTTCTCTCTAAAATTTTCCCATATCCTGTTTTAGTCAAAGAGCCCAAAATTAAACTCAAGATTCTAACAGGAGTGTTGGCTACATAAATACACAAATATGATTACCTCCTGCCGCCTCAATTTCATTCTCTTAGTTCTTCAGCCCTACCCAGCACTACTATCTTAGCACCAGTAGGCTAGCAACAATGACAGTCATTCTGTGTACAGGCTGGGAAAACACTTGGCTATTGCAGAACTATCCATCCTGCACTTTGGACCAGTGTATGATGTATCCGTGAATAGCTGTCAGTCTTGCAAAGTCTCTAGATAAGCACAAACAAAAATAGAGCAGCTACTCCTTCCTGATTTCTTTTTGTATTTCACATGGTAAAACTGATTTATGGCCATAATGCTTGATAGTCTAAGTCTTGCAATCCAAGTTACCCATTTACATGAATATTAAGTTTAGTTTACTGTCTCATATCTCCTGGTAAAAGGGCTAGTAACAAGACTTGAGAATCAGTGAATAGCTTGAGTACCTGTTCATTGAATAACTGGCCATCAACTGCAAGATGCACCATTATCTTATGCACTACTAAGAAAGGAAAAAGGGCTGCACCTATGATATTCAACACTTTTTATAATTAAGAGTTTTTATTTTATATTACTGAAAGAGCTCTTTCAGACTCATTTAAAAAATTATGGCCAAGTTCATGCATATGCAGACAATACCAACTGTGCCACGGCTGCTGCCATCGATTATAAGATGTAATCCAATTTCAAAGACGTAAAAATGTGAAAAAAAAGATGTGTATGAATCAAGGAAATATGGTGCTAACACTGAGCAGTGGTTACAAACAATAAGAAGTGTTCACAAAGGACAGGTTACAATCACAAGAATCTAATATAACCAATATGAAACAACAGGAAAATAAAGCTACAGTCCATATTTAGAAAAAGGGCTAAAAGAATATAAGCTTGATATATACCTCCCCCTCTTACCCTCTACCAGATTCAATTTCACTAACTTACTTTTCAATTTATCCTCCTGACATCAGAGAATATAGCCTAAATTGATTTTAGAATACAAAATCCAATGATAAATCAGCTATATTGCTACTTAAGTTTTCCATAACAGAATAATTTAAATGGACATCCTGTGTCATCCAAAATATATACACTTTTCACTTAATCTAACAGTAATACACATAGGCATCTCCTGATTATCTATGCTAATCATAAGCACAGAAAAATAAAAATTGTGGACAGTATCTTCCAAGCCTTCATCTTCTTCACGTTAAGGGCCTGTGCTGCACACAGTAGCATATGACTCCAACCCAGTCAGGTAGAAGGGAATCTTGCATAAGGAGTGTTCTACTCCTCATGGAAGGGTTCCCCACTACCCAGCTAAGTCAATTCCCACAGAAGGCATCTCCGAAGTTAACTGCTGAAAGTATCCAAGATGCTGTATGTCACTAAGTCTTCAGGCAGGTTTCTTCTGGTTCCTTAGGTTTACTCTCACAAGAAAAGACAATAAGCTATTATAATACCTTGATTAACCAGAATGCATCTAGTTAGCTGAGGGCTAACTAGAAAACCATTTTTGTTTCAACGCTAATTATTGAAAATTAAAATTATTTAGAGATAACATCTCTAAAATATAATATCATAATCTCTTGCCTTAGTAAGCATAGTATATAAATAAAATTCTTAAATCTAGGATATTTTACTGATTGAATGTCATTATTATAAAACCCTATTAGTCTTAATAGTAATACCCCTGTTTAATATATCTTTTTAAATATCAATCCCTCATACTGTGTGGATATATAACCATTTGCTTCTATTCTCCAAAATTAATTACAGACTAGAAAAAAAATACGTTTTCAAGGGCCTCCTAGTTAATCAAGGTTTTATTATCTCTAGGAAGACAACTATAATATAAATAGAAGTTAGCTGAAATTGATTAATTTCAAATATTTACTTTCCTACGTCAAATATATATTTTAAATTAACTCATATAAAAGTTGTTTAATAAAGCAAGATAAATTTCTGTGTAGATGAATAAAACATTTAATGTTAAAAATACAAAGTTCAATTAACAATCCACCAAAAAGGTTCGTTCATTACCACAAAGCAAAAATAGATAGATGGACAGATAGGCAGACAGACAGACAGATAGACAGATAAAATTACCTGTGACTGGATAAGAGAATTTGGAAATTCAAACCTTTTCCTGATATCATCTGACATTTTTGCTTTTCTTACATGTATGTATATAAATTCTGTAATCAAAACAAAAGAATACTTGTTAGTCCTGAAGAGGAATTCAAACCAATCTCATTTCTTCCTCAAATGATATTAAAGTAATTCATTCCAAAGACAACAATGGAAACAAAGCACAGGGCTCTGTAAAGTAATCCTTGGCATCCCTGTCAGTATTGACCACTTCAGCACTCAAATACCACGACTAATAAATGAACTAAAAATGGCCAACGTCTCTTAGTTTTTCTCAGTAAAACTAACCCTGAAACAGATGAATTCACACTACAGAGGCCAAAAAATATTCAAAAGTTCAAGCCTAGATAACGTGATTAAAGTATTCCACCGCAAATTCAAAATAGAAATTCTTTTATACATCGAAACTTGTGAGGGAGAAAGAGTCAAACTGTCATAAAATGTTTTAAACTATGCCTCACTTTGGTACAAGCTTTCATCTGAACATTAATCCAACTCATAGTGACAAGTGTGAAACCTAGGTGAGCTATTTTCAAGTACAGAAATGACCTAGAAGCTCACACATTAAAGCAGACTGCTTATCCCCTAAAGGAGGAACAAGCAAGCAATTAGCACCAACTTTTAATATTTACATCACACCTTTCATTCCTACTGGGCTCTCAAAAAAAAAGGAAAAAGGATGGAGGAGGGCACGTGGTGAAAGAGAGGCACAAAACTAATAAGAGGATTTCCTAAGATCCTACTTTATCCATTCCCCATGCAGCATTGATTCCACTACTTTTTGAAAATGGGTACTTTAGGTCACCTATTTATTCTAATATCACTAAAAAATAAAGTTTTATGCCATTATAGTACCCTAGGTTACCATTTAAAAACAACAGAAAACTAAACCAAGCTCTCCTCATCTCAAAAAAAAGGAGGCACCTAGTCTTGAACCTGCAGCTCTAACTACTTTCCTCCCTTTTCTTCCAAAGCTAAACTCCTTGAATGGCTAACTTAGCCTGGCTTTTTTCTTCAACATCTATGTCCAACTTGATTCCCTTGACTTTGACATTCCACTGCACTGAAAGACACACCGCTCTAAGACTACAAACCATTTCCCCTGTCTAAACCTACTCATCAGCTTAAGCAGGCCAAAATTTCTTCAGTTTCCCAGTTGTGTCAATCACACCTTTCTTGGAATTATTGTCTCCTTTGATTTCCATAATACATCACAATGGAATTTCCAAAGTGCGTCCCAGGGAAATCCAAGATAAAGAAATCTTCATGAAAAAAAAAAAAAAGAGGGAAGGGAGAACTTTGTGGGGGAAATACAACATATTATATTCCAATCATGAAATCTAATTTATTTGTTTAAAAAATACTTATTACATGCTTC